GTTTAGAATGTTTAGACTTGGTTAGACTATACAATGCCAGGTCACCCATGTGTTAAAAAATGGTCGAATGGAAGGCAAACGGGAGAAGGCACACACAACGGTAGAAGGCACGTGCATCTCTGGAAAGCAGTATGTGTAGTATTATAGATTACTATAGTATTGTAGTACGTATATATATATATATATATTGGATTATATTGGTAGCAGTGGACCCAGCATCTTCAACCTGGTGGTGGTGATGGTGGTAGTGGTCGCAGTAGCTGAAGTAGGAGCAGCAGTAGCAGTTAGTAGTACATAGTTCTCCGCAGTAGGTATTAGTAGGTAGGTAGTAGTAGTAGGTGAGGTAGCACACAGAGCAGCAGCAGTAGCAGTATTAGGTAGGGTACGGTAGGGTAGGTGAGGTTAAGTAGATCGGTCAGCAGTACATCCGAACGTCGTCGTCGTCGCCCGGATTACCGGGACGTGTCACTGACGCCAAGACACACAAGTGCAATGAGAGCGCCCAAGCAAAGCAGCCCTGGCACACGGCACCTGAGATCGAGGGCAGCCGGAGCCGATCGACCGATCAGCATGTCTATGACCTGGGACGATGGCTTTAAGTTTGCCAATAGCTTAGCCATACCCTGGGAGTCAAAGACTATAAAAAGAATGCTCCTTTTAGGTGACCATTTCCTTTACATCGGTCGGTCTAAAAATAGTCTTTGGACTTCTAGGGCATATATATATATATATATATCATATCACGTTTTTGGCCCTGCGTTGAATGCTACTGAATGCGCGGGTGTTCCATCGAGACGTCTTCCTCTCATGGCGCTAAGCCTGAGCACTGTAATTATCGAGCTTCAGACTGCACTGTTTAGACACATAGTCTATAGGAAAAGCAGCATGTCAAACACTTTGGGCTACACTACTATGTCACCGTCCTGTGTCAATCATGGTATGTCATAAACCACCATGTGAAGTGGTTTACAATGCAAAATGAGGGGGGCGATTTGTCAAGACTCAGGAGTCTACATGGCAGAAGGCAACACGCCGTTTTTGCAGCTCGTGGTGGCTCCAACGCTATGCTCCCAAGCGGCCTCATGGTCGTCCCGGTGGATGCTTTCCGCCCCAACGGAGCACGGCGGGTTCCGCGTGACGCTCCGTGATGGGAGCTTGAGAGGTCGCGGCGAGGTCCGCGGTCGGGGGCGAGGTGCAGGCAATGACGTCCTTTTTGAATGAACCCCCCGGCTGAATTTCCAACACGAAGCGTGAAAACCTCTGGCTCGTAGAGGAAAACCCGTCTTAGGAATGATAAAGGGGGTCGATTTGCTATTCCAAAATGACTTGCCATAAGCATATCTTGGACCTGTGGAGGGGTTTTGACCCCCCTGCCTAGCGGGGTTTGACCTTTGAGGGTACGGGCTTCTTAGCGGGGCACTCCTGCACCACACCCACGGTCCTTAAAAAGGAAAATAACAAAGGACGGATGGTCAAACCAAGGCACCGCCGCAAAATATAATCGAAATACACAAAATACAATGTTCATAGAGAGGGACACATAAAAGAACAAGAAACACACATAAATAGAAACTGCATATAGACATACATATATATATATGTTAAGTTGCTTGAGTTTAGTGTTTTTGCTCGCAAGAAGTGTTTTGCACCAATGTTATTTGGAAAAAATGAAAGAAGTGTTTTGGTGTTTCCGTGGCCAGGTCTTAAAACACTTGCACAACCAATAACCATTCGACCCTTCTTCTCACCCTCAATACCCTGAAACACTACAGCCATCAGTCACAAATTCCCAAAGCGCAAGCACCAAATGCCGTTTTTTTAACAAAAAAAGCAAGCAGTCTCACTGATCCAAAGATCAGCTCTTCTTGAACAGCTTTCGCAGGTCTTCAAACAAACTTCCTACAAAGTGTTTACAAAGTGTTGGATCTTTACAAAAATTTGACAAAGTTTTGGAATTACAACCTTTTTTACCGAGTTTTTGCATTACAAAGCTTTAACAAAGTCTACAAAGTTTAAACATAGAAATAACAAACTTCACAAAGTTTTGGACACTTACAGTACATTGAATTTTACAAAACTTTGGAACTACGAAGTTTTTACAACGTTTTGAACCTTTAGATATCTGAACAAAGCTTTGGACATTTATCAAGCTTTGAACAAGTTTTGGAATTTTACAAAGTTGTTACCAAGTTATTGAGTTTGAAAGTTTTTAAAAGGCTTTTACAAAAGTGTTTAATGCTTACAAACTTTCTACAAAGTTTCGTTTTTTTCAATCTGTGTCAAAACTGTGTAAACTTTATTATTTGAAAACTTTGCAAAACGTTGTAAACTTTGTAAGAACTTTGTAAACTTTGTAAATACTTTGTAAACTTTGTAAAAGCTGTGTAAGCTTTGTAGAAACTTTGGTGAAATTCTAAAACTGTGTAAACTTTCAAAACTCTGCAACAACTGTGTAAAAATTGAAAAAATTGCAAACTTTGTCAAAACTTCGTAAACTGTTGTTAAAATTGTAAACTTTTTAAACACTGAAACACTTTAAACTTCGTAAACCTTTGTAAAAACTTTGTACACTTTGTAAACCTGTGTAAAAAACTGCGAAAACTTTGTGTAAAAAATTGTAAAATGCGAAAACTTTGTCAAAACTTTGTAAACACTTGTAAACTTTGTCAAAACTTTGTGAACTTTGTCAAAAAGTTTGTAAACATTGCAAACTTTGTACACTTTGTACTAACATGTTGTAAACTTTGTAAACAACTTTTAGATGTTGTAGGCCTTCGTAAACTCTATTTAAAAAAGACCGTTATAAACTTCGTAGCACTTTGCAAACTTTGTAAAACGTTTTTAAACTTCGCAAACTTTGTCAAAGCATTGTAAACATTTTGAAAGACCTTGTGAACGTTGTGAAAACTTTGTAAACTTTGAACACTTTGTAAATTTCCTCAAAACTTTGTACAAATTGTGAAACTGTACAAACTTTGTAAAAACTTTGTAAAATGTAAAAAAACTGTGTAAACTTTGCAAATAAATAAACAATCAAAACTTTGTAATCGTTGTCAAAACTTTGTAAACTTTGTCGAAACTCTGTAAACTTTGCAAAACTTTGTAAACTTGGCAAAATCTTTGTGAACTTTCCAAAATCTTCAAAACTTTGTAAACTTTGTAAAAACTTTTGTAAATTTGTGTAACAAAAGGCAAATGTCGCAAACTTTGTCAGAACGTTGTAAACTTTGTAAAAACTTTGTAAACTTTGTAAAAACTGTGTAAACTATGTAAACTTTGTAAAAACTTTGTAAAACTTTGTAAAGTTCTGTGAAAGAAGTGTTTTTGCACGATTTTTTGCCTAAAAAGAAGTGTTTTTCATGTCATTTGTTGTAAACATAAGTGTTTTTCACCAGCCATTTGTAAACTTTGTAAAAACTTTGTAAACTTTGTAAAAACTTTGTAAAAACCTTGTAAACTGTGTAAAAACTTTGTAAACTTTGAAAAACTTTGTAAACTTTGTAAAAACTTTGCAAACTTTGTAAAAACTTTGTAAAAACTTTGTAAACTTGAAAAAGCTGTTGTAAACTTTGTAAAAACGTTGTACAACTTTGTAAACTTTGTAAAACTTTGAAAACTTTGTAAGCACTTTGTAGACTCTGTAAAAATTGAAAAACTGTGTAAATTCCGAACTTTGCAAGAACTTTGTCAAATTCCAATGCTGTCTAAAATCGTTGTAAACTTTCAATACTGTGCAAAAACTGTGTGAACTGTAAAAACTTTGCAAATTTTGTGAAAGCTTTGTAAACTATGTAAATACTGTGTAAAGTTTGCAAATGTTTGTACACTTTGAAAAAACTCCATGTAAAATTGTAAAATTTGCAATCTTTGTAAAACAATATAAACTTTGCACAAGCTTTGTAAACTTTCAATACTTAAAACTGTGTAAACTTTGTAAAAACTTTGTCAACATTGCAGCAACATTGTAAAACTTTCAATACGTCTTTAATTGATTTTTTTAATGGTAAAACCTTTGTAAACTGGGTAAACTTTGGAAATTGTTCAAAACTTTGTAAACTGTGTTAAAATATTGTAAACTTTGTAAACTTGGTAAACGGTTGTAAAACTTTGCAAACTTCATAAAATCTGTGTAAAACTTTGTAAAAACTTTGTACCAAAATTTGAAAGCCTTGTAAAAACGTAGTGAACTTGGTATAAACTTGGTAAACTTTGTCAACACTTTGTAGACTTTGTAAAACATTTTTAAACTTTGTCAAACTTTGTAAGCTTTGTCAACCTTTAAACTTGTAAAACTTTGTAAGAACTTTGTAAAACTTTATTAAGACGTTGTAAAATTCGTAAACTTTGTAAAAAGGTTTACAAACCTTTTACGAAGTTTTGGCGTTCTTCAACTTATTCTTCAAAGTTAGAGCAACGTTTTACACAGTTTTTAGAACGTTTACAAAGTTTTATATTTTACAAAGTTATACAAAGTTTACCAAACTTTCACAAAGTCTTAAGATTTTGTACAAAGTTTGCAACTTTTGCAAAGAGTTGACAGAGTTGTTGAATTACAAACAAACTTACAAAGGTTTACAACGTTTACAAAGCTTTTACCATGGCCGTTCACTCACCATTCACGAGACAAACAAACCTATGAAATAGTCCTTTGGGTCTCGTATGTTGCCACTAACAACGCAAAAAAACAAGACGTGTTTTATACCCTCTCTTAGTTCTGAACAACCAATTCTTCAGAGGTCCGCAAGGGTCAAAAACACTTCTTCTGCGCTAATTCCCCCGAAACAACGAACGACGGTCCCCAAGCAACTTAACATATATATAGTTATATATATAGTTATATTTATATGTTTATATATATATATTTATCACACACATACACTTAGACTTATACTTATACCCACCCACCCACCCACACCCAAACATGTTGCTTGCTTTGTTTCAGCTCTTCAGCACCGACCGGTCTTTGGACATCCCTTCGTCCGATCGTCGGGACTCCGCACTCCATGGACCACCTGCTGAAGCTCCTCCGATCGGTCGAGTCGCGGACGGTTCGCGTCGGCGCCGGGATGGTTCGCGGACGGTCGCGGGGTGGTTCGTGTTGCGACCGGGTTTTCAAACCCCACGAACTCAAGAAGAGGTGGAAAGGTCGGTTTCACTTAGTCCCTGGGATTCCAACCATGGGATTATGATGGATTATGTGGATCTGTTCTTTCCATTAGGGAGGCAGACTGGTCATCATGAGTGGTCTTTTCTTTACATCAATCGTTCCAGGAGTTGCTTCTCGGGGGATTCTGATTGAACAGCACCAACCTGTAGAAAAAGAAACAATGGTGGTTGGAATCCCAGGGACTAAGCGAACCGAACTGTCCACCTCTTCTTGATTAGTTCGTGGGGAAACCAATCCCCCCAAACAGGGTTCACCGTCCAAAGACTATACTTTCCCGCAGTGAAGTAAAGGACATTCCCAGACTCAGATCCCATAAAGGCCATTCTTTGTACAGTCTTTGACACGCAGGGTTAAGGTTATTTTCCGGGGTAGGAAGCCGTGTCTCCAATTGGGTCAAAGCTCGAAGCTTCGCTTCGCTTCCTTGGTCCTTGGTCAAGCTCCGATGGGTCATTGGTTGGTCAAATTCCATTGGTTGGTCATCCACTGCCTTCTGCTTGATGGTGAGCTACCTACGGGAAATCGATCAAATCGATCCTTCGTCATGGGGGATGATCTCAAGATTCCACGGAAAGAGGCCCCAAAAAACCAAGGCAACCCCCCCCTAAACCCAGGCAAGTCTGTCTATTGGAGCTCCAGATGCTGAACAGATTCTGCAAGATGCTGCAAGTAGTCTCAGGTCTCTCTCTCTCTCTCTGTCTGTGACCTACTCATGCCGCTCCCAGGAAAAGGGGCGACTCATAAGACCATATAAACATAGGACCGAATGCGTGGAACAAGGCGGCTTCCCCCAAGAAGATGTTCAGGTTCTTCTCTAGAAGGGGATTGACCCAGTTCGGGAAGGTTCAACAAATCACCTGGATAGCAGGACCAGGTTAGGGTGTGTCCTTGCACATGAGAAAGATACATCTGGATGCGACCGAGTCATGTCGTTTTCCACAAGTGTGGGAAGAAGCACTTTCCATCAATTCATGCACCACTGAAAGACCAAGAGGATACACAATTCAATCAGCAATCTTTTGATGCATTCCATATCATTCCATCAATTCCAAAAGGTTCATTGTTTCAAACGCAGCGGGCCACACAGCCCCCCGACCTGCAAGGACTTGCATCGTGATAGCCTTCGATTGAGTTCCACCTCGGTCCAGACCGAGGTAACATTCCCGGAAACAAAAGCCAAGGCAGCAGCAGGAGTAGTAAGCTGCGAAGCGGAACATGACTCCATGATCCATCCATGATCCAACCGGGAAGAGACTCACATGGAACCTGATGGCAGGAAGACTAGCTTCCTCCACAAGCAAGGACTTTTAGGGTTCCAAGTGGCTCCAAGGGTTCAATGTTGATCTTTGAATGATCTTTCAGGGTGTATCTGGACATAGTCCGGTTCGCAGATGGGAGTTACACTTCCCAGGGCCTGCTGAAGACTCTGGCGTGAATGGAGCTTCAGGGTCTTCAGAGGCCCAAACTATATCCATCCGAAATCATCCGAATATCTATCCAGCATTGCGGAACTGCCAAGGAGGAGGTGAGACCCCTTTTTTGTATCTCCTAGGACTCCTATATATTAATTTAGCTTCTCCAGAAGCGGAGATGAAAAACAACAAATGGGCAACAAAAACACATCAACATCACTGACTTCCTCAGTATCCCTGCAACATAAAGGTGCACCTTCTTCTATCTTGTTCTTGTTTAAGTAGATATATCAACTCCCTCCCCCAAGTCAGAGCTGTGCTCCACGGCAGTTCTAGAACATGACGCCCCCCGCGCCGAATTCGTGCCAGCTCCGCGCCTCCGGGTCCGAGCCTCCCCACGTGCCGGGTCGCTGCACCGCCCAGCCATGAAGCGCTCATGGCGCGGGCGCATCTACAAGGCCCGGGAGCAGAACAGCACCTCGCGAGGCGGATCAGCGGGGGATGGGACGAAGGAGCTGGATCTTCGGAATTCATAAGGTGTAAAGCCCTGATTCATGCGATTCATGCTCCTCTTCATCCATGGGGGTGAAGGTTTTGTAGGAACCAAGGGGTCTACATTCGGAGGAGCTGTCTGTTTTGGATGTTGTTGCAGAAGTTCTTCCCGTGAAGAGATGGCACGGGAAATGGTGTCTTCAAGCTTCAGAAGAGTCCTCGGCTGAACTCTGGATGCCTTCAGGAGTCCAACAAAATGCTGGATGACAAAACTAGGAGCAACCAATCAAAACTCAGCATGAGGGATGCCCAATGAGAAACGCACAACAAAAACAAACAAGGAATGGGTCAATTTCCCTGGCACTTGATATTGTTCCATATCACCCCTCCCAGGCGAGAAAAAGGCCTGAATATGCCTTGAACCATCATCTATATAATAAGCTATTCTGGGTGTGTTTGAAAGAGGGGACAGCCTCGCTGAGAGCACCTTGCATCGTGCTTCTTTTCTTCATAGAGCCGCATCTGCTCAATACGAGCAAGAGACCAGCAGTCAGAGTCAAACGGCGTCTGCCTGGACAGTCTCTGCCTCTTCACGAGGCATGGACGGTCTTTGCTCACTTGGCTCACCGAAATTCTCACTCGCTGGCTGCTCCACCGGCTGCTCCAGCTGGTCTAATTGGCCACTATCTTTCTCCCAAAAGCCCAAGTCTTCCATGACCTCACCAAGCCAAGTGACTGAAACAATGACATGTCAGTAAAGAAGTATAGTTCTTCAATGTTCTTCAAAGTCAAGCTCGGCCTAGGTTTAAAAAAAAAAACACGCACACAATAATGATAAGAACAAGAACAAGAACAAAAACAAGAACAACAACTACTACTACAACAACTACTACTTACTACTACTACTACTACTACTACTACTACTACCACTACTACTACTACTACTACTACTACTACTACTACTACTGCTTGAAGAACACCTGAAGTCTGAAGTGACCTTCCAAGGCTTCTAACAAAGCATTGTATCAAATTGTATCTAAAGATTGCCAACTCAATGAACACAAACTTGGATTTGCTTAAGGAACCTGGAAGAAACAAACAACTATACATTACTATATATTTCTCAGGAGGGGACTCCCGGGAAAATACACAATCATGTGATCAAAACAGGCAAAGCCTTCCAAAAGTGTTTCGTCTTTTCGCGGCGGAGCAGCGTCGCCGGTCTACACGCGGGTTGACCAAGTCACCCTGCGGAATTTGTTGTCAACGGTGAATCGAACTTGCGCATGTCCTTGGGTTTTGTGAGGGAAAAGGGCAAAACAGGAACCCTAAGGAACAACAACATAACTTAAACACAATATAACTTGCCATATACCAGGACACCCTAAGGGGCTTCTATTGATAGCTCCTTACAGGTTAAGAAGGGTCCATTAACCACCCCTGTGGGTCCTGGTATATATATATATATCTTAAACATAACAATCAATCACCCTAAGGAACAACAAAAACCACCCTACCCCAAGCCATACCAGGTCTCTGCCACCGATCTTCTGGCCATCCAGCGTTTGCCGCGCGACTCGGCATGCATCGTTGTCCTCGAAGAGAACGAACACTTCTGCATTGCCTGCCGATGTCTATAGGGTTTTACCGGGGAAAAAAACGTGTAGAAGACCTTTGCAAAACTACCCTCCTGCAAGCTAACATGGAACCTAAGAATTGACCAGAGGAAAACCACTGCCTGCCGTTCCGAACGCGCTTCGATGCATTGGGTGGCCTGTCGATGGAGGCCTACCTATTGGTATATGTAGGGTAGGGTAGTCGAACGCCAGGACACCCAAACAGGATGATCCTGGTTAGTAGGGTCTTACAGGAAAACAACATCGTGTAGAAGACCTTTGCCAAACCAAGGGGAACGTCCAAAATGGAACATGAACATTTCCTTGTAGAACACCCCTATGGCCCGGGTCTGGTCTGGTTCGATGGAAACAAACAATGGGCGAAGAATGTCACTTGTCCAGTTTAAATTATTGAAGCTGGAAGATTTGGTATATTGGTATATATATATCATTATCCTTATAATTATATATCAATATATATTATCATATATCATTACCAGTCACAATGGATGATGATGGTTAGCAAAGACCGTTCCCCAGAATAAGTGATACTCTTTTACCGACGGTTCTTGGTACTGTTCCTGGTACTGTGGCAGGCCAGCTGCCATTGCCCGCGGATCGGTGAAGCTCTTAGAGGCAAGAATGGAGCGCTGATCATGATCCGCCATCCACTTCATGACTCATGACAATATGGTCATCGTGACGGACAATCACTTGGACTTAAACGTAGCTGGAACATCACTAATGCTTCAATGTCGACTGGCTGGAGGCCCATGTAAGTAGTGTAATTAGGGTAGTCTATTGTTCCCGTCTTTGGAAGTGATTGCCCATCCTCAGGGATCCAGTCGTACCTTCTCAGGTACGGTGATGTGTTCGACACTGAGACATGTAGGTGCCAGGAGGGTCCAGTCGTACCTTCTGAGGTTCGGTACGGCTGGATCCCTACAAATCCGGCATTACTCTGCCACTCCGCTCCGCTCCACTCCGCTCCGCGGCGCCTCGGTCGTCTTTCCATCCCAAAGCGATGGAGCTGGGTGCGCTCCCCACGGGCGCCAGGAAGGCTTTCACCTCGTCCTCCGTGATCTCACCAGGATCCTTAAGTCGGTCCGAAGCCGAAGGCGCCGGCGCCTGGGTAGGTGTCCTGGACGTCCGGTTTGGACACCTGGATGGCATATGGGAAAAGATCGGAACTCCACCAAGGAGTGTGGGGAGCCTCAAGGACTGCCTCAAGGATCTCAAGTCAAAGTCTGCACCACCTACAGGTCTGCCATGGCCTGCAATGGTCTCATCTTGTCTGGATTGTCCTGGCTGGAGGTCCACCAACAAAAAGAACCATGCTAGATCCATGCTTAAAATGATTTATATAAACTGTGATTATACGTACATCTGCGATGTCCTCATCCTTTCATGTTCCAAACTCCTCTTCGCCACGTCTCGACCACTCCTGACCACTCCTCCCCGCGCGCACGACCGCGCAGGGTCGGTCGGGTCCGAGGCTCGACGAGGTCGTCCGGAAAGGTGATCTTGACGCTCCTGGTGCGGTGATGGCGTGGCTCTCCGCGGCGGCACGGCCGCGTGGAGATAGCGTGACGCACCGGAGAGATGCATCGGGACGGCCGCGGGGGAATTCCGATTGGGAAGGGTATGGTTGGAAGTTGAAGTTTGAAGGCAAGCCGCTAGAGAGGGGAAAGCAAGCCTTTTTCTCTGAACTGAGAGGCCACACCATCTAATCATGTATATGGAAGAATTCCTTTGTGAAGCAACCAGGGAGGAAACACACATTTATACCAACATCTTCCCCAGTTCAGGGGATTCACCGAATGACCCGGTCACATCGATCTTTGCGCAAGTTGGTTTATCTGGTCAATCCAAAGTATTCTTGTGACCTTCGGCCATGTGGGGGAATTCATCAGAAGGGGACAGGCTCGGCAATCTGATGCAATCGGTAAAGACCTGTAAGGAATCCAAATCCCCACAATTGCCAAATGTTGCCAGGTAAATGAACGATCATGCTTCAAACAGCACAATGAACAACAACAACAACAACAAGAAGCAAAAGAATAAAAATGAGTAATAATTAGCCCAGCTGGAGACCCTAATAGCAAGATACAAACCGGGACAAAAAGAACAATCTTGAAACAGCTGCTGTTTTCAACACATCGACCATCTCTTCCTTGGACACCATCATCACATAACCGGGACACCATCACAAAATGACCAGGGCACCATCAAAACATGACCGAGACACCGTCACAACATGATTGGGACACCATCACAACATAACCAGGACACCATCACAAGGTGACCGGGACACCAGCATGACATGACGGGGACACCATCACAACATGACCTGGACACTATCACAACATGACCGGGACACCGTCACATGACCCGGACACCATCAAAACATAACCAGCACACCGCCAAAACATGACCAGGACACCATCACAACATGACCGGGACACCATCAAAACATGACCGGGACACCGTCACAACATGAGCGAGACACCATCACAACATGACTGGGACACCGTCACAACATGACTGGGACACAATCACAACATGACCGGGACACCATCACAAGGTGACCGGGACACCAACATGACATGACGGGAAAACCATCACAAGATGACCAGGACACCATCACAACATGACCGGGACACCGTCACATGATCCGGACACCATCAAAACATAACCGGCACACCGCCAAAACATGACCAGGACACCATCACAACAGGACCGGGACACCATCAAAACATAACCGGGACACCGTCACAACACGACCGGGACACCATCAAAACATGACCGGGACACCATCACAACATGACCGGGACACCATCAAAACATGACCGGGACACCATCAAAACAGGACCGGGACACCATCACAACATGACTGGGACACAATCAAAACATGATCGGGACACCATCACAACATGACCGCGCCACCATCACATGATCGGGACACCATCAAAACATGACCGGGACACCGTCACAACACGACCGGGACACCATCAAAAAATGACCGGGACACCATCACAACATGACCGGGACACCATCAAAACATGACCGGGACACACACCATCAAAACATGACCGGGACACCATCACAACATGACCGGGACACCATCAAAACATGACCGGGACACCATCAAAACACGACCGGGACACCATCACAACATGACTGGGACGCAATCAAAACATGATCGGGACACCATCACAACATGACCGCGCCACCATCACATGATCGGGACACCATCAAAACATGACCGGGACACCGTCACAACACGACCGGGGGACACCATCAAAACATGCCCGGGACACCATCACAACATGACCGGGACACCATCACAACATGACCGGGACACCTTCAAAACATGACCGGGACACCATCACAACATGACCGGGACATCATCAAAACATGACCGGGACACCATCAGAACAGGACCAGGACACCATCACAACATGACTGGGTCACAATCAAAACATGATCGGGACACCATCAAAACATGACCGGGACACCAGCATCACATGACCCGGACGCCATCAAAACATGACCGGGACACCATCCGCCCACCAGCTCTGACGGTGACCCGACGGCGCCCGTCCGCCTATTAGTTTTGCAAGACCCCATAGCATGGCTATTGGGGAAAAAGAAGAAGAAGAAGAACAAGAACAAGGTACAAACAAAAACTGCAATAACAGGACAGAACATGACAGAACCCCCGATTTTGCAGTGAAGCTTTCCATTTGGAGTTCTCTTCCCTGGCAAATTTTCTGGGGAGAGGCTGATATCTTTCTCAACTACCAGAATTTCACGTTTACAACACTTTACACCGACCACCCAATATACCACCAACCTGCAGCAGGTGCTCCTGGTGGTTTTCTCTTGATTCGGCTTGTAGCTCATCGGCCGCACCAAGTCCTCCATGTCTTCGGGCAACAGGGCGTCAATGCGTCGGATATAGCGATCCAACAGATGAAAATGGCCCTTCTTGCCGCGCCCCGTCTGGCCGCGCCATTGCTTCATGGTGGTGCAGAAGGGGGAGAATTTCTTCTTGGACTTCCTGAGCAAAATGGAAGTAGAGCAGATCTGGATTCAGGATGGTCTCGATTTCGATTCAGTGCCAGTATGTTCGTTAACGGGCCTCCACAAGAACAGTAGATCGACTGATGTTTTGAATTGTTTTGATACCCAAACTTGTGATCAACTCAGTATAGTATAACCCAAAACCATTGGGGTGGTCTCAGGGGTCAATTTTTGGGGCCTGCACGAATTGGAGAATCACTGAGAAAGCCTAGAAACGAATGGAGCCAACCAGGAGCCAAAGAAGGGATTGTAGCGTGTAGCGCGTCCTCCACTCCCGAGCTAGGAGACCACATTCCGGTCTAAGCCCCTGGGCATACTCCTGTCAGGGCTTACCCCCAGCAGAGGTGGGTCAGAACCCTAGTTCGACTATCCTATAGGTACTCCTGGTTTTCCGGGTCCTAGTTCAGGTCACTTAACCTCTGTAGCTGGTGCTGGGCATCTGCCACTTGGCTCAGCTTTCTAACAGCTGCCAAGGCTCGGGCTCGACGTCTTGCCGTTCTCTGGCGCCTCCGCGAAGCAGGTCACCGCGGCACCACGAGCCGCGCGGGCGCGGGCGCGAGCCTGGGACCTTCGCGCTCCGGAGCTGAAGAGGGCCAGCATCGCGGGCGGCAGAATCTGGAGCTGAAAAGCCTCAAACCCGGCAGAATCTGCGCTGGTCTCGATGGCGGGCCCGAGCTTACTTGATCTTACTTGCATTTGGGGAGTTGCTGGTGCAAAGCTCTCGCAGCTACACGAGCTCGCATGGAAAACATGCCCAGCGATTGAATTGGAGGAAATCCCATCACCAAGATGAGCCAGGGCCAAGTGGATCAAATGATGCTTTGCTTGCAAGCCTTTCCGCCCCAAATACTCTGCCTGGAATTCCCATGGAAGTGGAAAACCACCTGTTTGTAGTGGCAAATGGTCTTCCAAGGGGCCATTCTCCACTTTCATGTTAGTTTCAGGGAGTGTAGTGCTAATTAATCTTTGACCGACTGTTCCTGGTCATGGGACACCTTCAAAGGATCCGAACATGGCCTCTCATTCACACCTGAACATATCCTCCGCAAACATCTGTGTTTGCAACACACGCCCACGGAGGAATGGGAAGACTGAGCCAGAGATTGGTGAGATTTGTAAGGATTTTGCCTCGGACCTGGGAAGAGTGGACACCAACAGAGGTGGGTCAGAACCCTAGTTCGGCTATCCTATGGGTCCCCCAGGTGAGGGGTCCTATGGTCCGGTCCTGACCCACCTCTGTTCGCACACTGGGGGTGAACCACCGCTTTCGCCACAGTGGCCTGAACGGTGGCCTTCGCCTGAGCGGTCCCAGGTTTGTATCAAAAGCTCCCAAAAACCGATGCAGTGACTGGATGCAATCCTGCATCCACGTGGGCATGAGCAAGCACTGACTGTTGAAAACCATTGAAAACAAATTGTGCAATATATTATATGCACATGACTTTATATAACTTAATGTTGCCTTTTCAGGCAAGGATTTTATCTACGGAAATGCTCATCGACCCCCATAATATGAAGGGGCCTGGGGCCAGTCTGGGGTCTCAAATCCTAGGTTCCTAGGTCCTAGGTGTTCCGGTCGGGCTGTGAACGAAGTGTCTGGGTATCTCAGTTTCTTGTTCAACTGAGCAGCAGCCGACCTCACAGGGAATGCACTGTTTGCCGCGGGAGTCCTTGCATGTGAAGGCCGCTGCCGTGTGAAGCCCTCCGTTCTCCGGAGGAAGCTGGGAAACATGGCGCTGTGGAAGTCACACATGGCGCCAAGCTAACACAAGATGTGTTGGACTTCATATTTCAATCATTCTGTGCATAAACATCACCCCCAAACTCACAATGACTTGAAGAACGAAAGATGTTCTTCACAACTTTCTGGCACCAGTTTTCCGTGACATTTGCTTTCTGGCTTCTCATGCCCTGTATGGCTTCCATCTATGGTTGTATGTCTACCATGATGGTTTGTGGCCTCCAAAGGCTCCAAGGCTGACGTGGTGAGGATGGTGGTTGTAGGTGACGCGGCGCACATGAATATGAATGACTGATCTCCTAACACACCAATGGAATAGGACATTCCCAAGGCCCTAAGGCAATGCATGAACAATGATGAATTGCTACATCAAATGCAGCATTCATGGCTGGAGCGCAACAAACGCCTCCTATGCCTGCTACAGACATTGCTACATCAATGCGATCAATTGCTGCAAGCTGATCTGCAAGCTGCACTTTCTCACGCTCTAAAAGACGGCTCTATCAAAAGTATAAGACCAAAACTGTCGGCTCATGCCTTGATGAGACTGATGAGGCAGGTCCACACAAGATCTGTGACGAACTGACTCCCACACTCAGGCATCCACACGCCTCGACGCATCAGTGTCGAAGTTCTCTGCACAAATATGCAGGATTCACTACCACTGGTCACACCACTGAGTATTTCCACAAGTCTGGGGTAGATCATAGTCTGTCCTGAGAAGGCTGGCAGGGGTGGTTCCCTATGCTAAACAACTCATACCACACTTCAACCCCCACCTCCACTGCAGGAAAGCTGAGTGGTACAGAAAATTTGTTTGCCAATTGGCAACAAGAAATGCTCTCCAAGATTTTGTTTGCTCAGAAGCAAGTTACTTTTAAATCTGCATGCGGCTTCACTTTTTGATCAACTCTGCGCCTACGGCTACCTACAATCCGACCCAACAGCACGGAACACCCCCCCAAAGCCCAAAACCAAGCACAGGAAGGTCCGCCAGGCCCAACGTCGAAGGAGGACTGAAAAAGTCATGTTGTTCACCCTGACATAGCAAAACGGTGTTTTTTGGGATCCAAAAGACAGCTTAGTAAGCTGCCTGAAGCTACCTTCCACCTGACAAAGCAAAACTGGTCTTCATTCCCAAAGATTCACTTTCAGGAATCACCCACAAAGGAAAAGCGCTATCCCCCCGCCTCACTTCGCGGTCGGCAAAGGCGGGATCGCACTCGGCTCACCCTGCAGTGGCCCAAGTCCGCCGCTTCAAATGGGTGAGTCATTTCAAAACAACCAATTGGACACATCCCATCAAGTAGATGAACATATTTGGCATCTGCATCTGGTTGTGTTCCTCACCCTTTCATCTAGTGGCACCAGCTTCTCAGTCTTCCAAACCTGGACCATCCTGTCTGGGGTAGTCCAGACCTGGACATCTCAGATAGGAGGGGGTAGTCCATTGGTGACCCAAACAGGATGTTCCTGGAAGGTCGTGATCTTTAGGGCGGTCACCCAGCGCCGCTCTTCCCGGACCCCCTAGTTCTCCAGACCGGCAAACTTCGGAGGCGCGTGCCGGGGCGAGCCGGGGCGGCTTCCGATCGACCAAACACCTGGGACAAACAAAGAAAGTCGTCCAAAATATGTACAGTCTGATAGTAAACACCAATGGTTTGGCTTCTGAAAAAGATAACGCGTTGTTGGGGTCAATGCGTCTGTGGTGGGGCAAAACAGGGGAGTCAGTGGGCGGAGTTGGGATCGACGGAGAGCCAGCTGTGTTAGCCCCGCTTCGCCTTGAAAAAAGATCCTTAGAAAAAGCAACAACACATGGCCAGGGCCTGGGGTCACAAAGGGGTGGTTTTTAGTCCCTAAGTGAGTGGATAATGGGCATCCCTAGCCTTCATTAAGCACCCCTTTGTGACTGCTGGGGGGTGTCTCTCAAAAAATGTGGTTGAGCTGGTTTTGGAGAACAAACATTTGCCTTCTATAGTCAAACAATTGCTTTTGGAAGCAAGACCTGGTGATTGTTGACACTCGGGGAGATGAATGTCTATGGAAAAACATGCTATTTTAGCGCATTCTATATACCAGCACCCTCACCGCCAGGTCACCGTCTTTACTTGAGGGTTTTTAGGGCCCTAATGAACAGGTCGAACCATTCGTGACCTGTCGAGTCAGGTCCTGGTATTGGTATGTGGCATTCATGACCCTATCTTTATCTATCCTACCCTTCACACTCAACAGTGCATTAGAAGTCGGTTACGTGACAGTCCGAAGCACAATGGAAGATGGTCCCCAATGGTCCCGGAAAATGGTCTTCCCATGCAGGGGTCCAATGGGGTCAGTTTCCACTTGATGTTAGTGCGTCACCCTTTCAGGGCACAAACCCTTGTTATAGAGGGTTCGACCCCTTCTGAGGGTCCAAGGATCCTTAGGGCAAAGGATTTTCGGTTGTTTTCGAACGCTTTCGGGCCCCGGCCTTGGCCCACATCAGGCGTCGGAAGTCCTGATCTTGCTGCTTGCCGTTGTTCACCTCAAGGTCCGCGCGTCTCGAGACGCGAGCGCAACGAGATCCAACGAGTGGGAGGGTCAGAAAAGCTTCGTGGAAAAGAACCAACCCAGCACTCTGCGGTCTTTCGTTCAGGATGAAGGTTCTTTCTGCCCCTCAGTTCGAACCATTGGTGACCCGTGCTCGTCGAACAGTCCTGGTACACAAACAAAACGAGGATGAGTCAACTGACTGCGAAATCAGGCTACAACAACCCGCCACTCCAGTGCCTGCTCCTCTTTTGGGTGTGTCCAATCCAGTAGTCTGGACAAAGTCCAGCTATACTGAAGGAACGGAGAAAACAATCAAGACGTCGGACCAGTTTTGGCCTTCGACCACTTACCACATCTTACCATTACTACCCTCCCTCCAAGAAGTGGACAAGCCCCTGTTGGTAGAGGATTTCATGGTCTTTCCAAATTGTCGCAGGGGGTGTGGGTGATCTTCACGAAAATGTCTGATCCCCCGAGCATCTATGCGAGCATGTATGCGAGCCTCTTGAAATGTTTGGATGCCTCTTAGGTATGCATTGGCCCTTCTGTGTTCCACATCTGACTCAGCTTCTAAGCTCCACCCCGCACCCTCAACCCCCACGCCGTCACCCTTGTCGCCCTCTGTTGCGGGTCACGCAAGCAGCATAGAGCTCGCAGACAGAACCCCCACGCGAATGCCCGGCGCACATCACCTTCCTGCGCTGGGAACGGAGTTCGCCCCACTAAACCGAGCGAAGGGAAGAAGGCGAGAGCCACCCCGACCGAACTTGAATAATCTGGTTCGTTCGGTCACTTAAGGCTCCGAGTAGGGTCACGAAAAGGAGCCGGTCACGAACTGAAGAAGCTGGCCAATGAATCACACGTTCTGGGAGTCACATATGGAGTTGGGATGCCTTTCAGTCCTATCCAGTGACTTCGTTCGTAACTGGCACCCCGTCGCAAGCGACGCCTGGTTCAAAACTTGATCTCATATCTCATGGTGTCCTTGGCGTTTGTTGGCCATCGTCGTGTTCTGTGGCTTCTTAGATGTCTCTTGGCAATAGGCAAGAAACGGTCAGATCGTATCGAACGGGGTGGGGCCACCCCAATCTCCAGGAGGCGTTCGGATCGGGGCGATCTGTCTTTTTCCTGGAACTAGCCTGCACAGTTCATGCATACTATTGGGTATCTCCCATTACCAGCTTGCGATCCTAAGATCCAACCAATGAACGGAGCAAGGCAAATGGGCTGTGCTTGTGATCATCATCAGAACAGAATAGACTCTTAGGGGTACTTGGATCCCTGGGGATGGTGCCCTGTCGGAGGGTGGCAGTGTAAACATGTGCTTTGTCATCCTCCAAGTAGTTGACTGGACTGACTGGGACCCTTCTGGATGGCTCTGGTCATCAAATCCGACCTCAAAACCCACACGACAGAGATCCACCACTCACCCCGTGTGGCACCGCTCGATCGGTCGTGCGCACCGTTCGCCAATGCGGACAAAGGTCCTGCACTGCGGTAGCTTCTTTTGGATCTTCTGCCAGTTAGGGTGCTGCACGGTGGAAATCCTGAAGCGGCTCGAGCGCTTAGAAGGGAGCTTAGAAGGGGAAAGCTGATGAAGAACCGCCCTTTCCCCATGTTGAGCTGAGAATGCACGAATTATGGCAAAACATCGCCCATTAAAAACATAACGAACTGGTGAACAGTTCGGCAACCCATGCACTTTCCAAAGTTCGGCGCTTCACCCAGGAACCGGGGAAAAGTCCGAAACATCCGACGAATGCGCGGACTCGCCAGGAATCAAGTAGTCTCTGTAGCCCGAATGGACGTTCTCCATACCTCAGCACAGCAAACCAGTCCGTGGTACGTGTTGGATTTGCTGTATACGTAACAAGGGCATCGACGCTACTAGTAACAAGTGCATTACTCAGTTCGTGACCTAACTCGATCGGTTTGTCCTTGGATGAGACTCCAACATTAGGTCATATAAATTAGGTCGAAGGGACTACACTTGCCTAGAAAAAATTGCTGATCTCCAAGTCCAGTTTCCATCATTTTCCTACTCCATGTTGTAATTCGGCTTAGAATTCGGCTTAGATTACGCCTTCACACGTTATTTGAACGCAATCTCAAGGCCTTCAAGCGCTTGGATTTTTGGTAGCCTAAAACCAGTAGTTTTCAAGGGATGATAACTTACGTGCATGATCGGTTTTTCCAGCTTCTGGATCTTGGTAGATTGAATGATGGTAGTGCTGTCAAACCCTTACATGGCCATTGTGTATATATATATATATATACCGCGACCTTCTAAATTGAATATCTATCAAGTTGACTGCAATGGCCACTACTATACAATGAAGCTCCTTTTTGTAGCACAGCACATTGAATTGTGCAGCATAATCACTACCACTCAGAGGGTGCGCCAGTGGATGTAAAAACATCGGCAAGAAACCTCAACATGTTGAAACTCATTCCTGAGAGGCCCCTTAAATATCTAAACACAT